CTAGAACTGAACTAGAACTGAACTAGAACTGAACTAGAACTGAACTAGAACTGAACTAGAACTGAACTAGAACTGAACTAGAACTGAACTAGAACTGAACTAGAACTGAACTAGAACTGAACTAGAACTAAACTAGAACTGAACTAGAACTGAACTAGAACTGAACTAGAACTGAACTAGAACTGAACTAGAACTGAACTAGAACTGAACTAGAACTGAACTAGAACTGAACTAGAACGAACTAGAACTGAACTAGAACTGAACTAGAACTGAACTAGAACTGAACTAGAACTGAACTAGAACTGAACTGGAACTGAACTAGAACTAGAACTGAACTAGAACTGAACTAGAACTGAACTAGAACTGAACTAGAACTGAACTAGAACTGAACTAGAACTGAACTAGAACTGAACTAGAACTGAAATAGAACTGAACTAGAACTGAACTAGAACTGAACTAGAACTGAACTAGAACTGAACTAAAACTGAACTAGAACTGAACTAGAACTGAACTAGAACTGAACTAGAACTGAACTAGAACTGAACTAGAACTGAACTAGAACTGAACTAGAACTGAACTAGAACTGAACTAGAACTGAACTAGAACTGAACTAGAACTGAACTAGAACTGAACTAGAACTGAACTAGAACTGAACTAGAACTGAACTAGAACTGAACTAGACTACTGAATTAGAACTGAACTAGAACTGAACTGGAACTGAACTAGAACTGAACTAGAACTGAACTAGAACTGAACTAGAACTGAACTAGAACTGAACTAGAACTGAACTAGAACTGAACTAGAACTGAACTAGAACTGAACTAGAACTGAACTAGAACTGAACTAGAACTGAACTAGAACTGAACTAGAACTGAACTAGAACTGAACTAGAACTGAAATAGAACTGAACTAAAACTGAACTAGAACTGAACTAGAACTGAACTAGAACAGAATGAACTAGAACTGAACTTTTTTAATTTTTCACCAAATTGGAACCATCCTAAGCTACTCTAATAGTAAAAAGCACAAAAAAAAACAATTCAATTTACTTCAAAGAGTACAAGTACTAACAACTATTCTGCGACTGAGTTTTGTGCTGCTGTGATTATTCCTGCTGTCATACTGCTGAAGCATAAGTGACAACAACAGCAATAGAAAAACTTAAACATCATCATTGTCAACAACTTCGTTATTGCCTCTTGTACATACAAATGAATAAAATCAGCGCATCAGTCTATATGAATGTCATTTTCTTACTAAAGCAACACTCGAAGTCTGTTACATGTTTCATCACATCCGTGTAAACGTGTGATAGTGAGAGGACAAGGACAAGATTTTACTTTTTTTTTTGCGACGATTATAAAAGTGATGTAAGTAAATGTGTAAATGTATGAGAAGGCAATGTAGCAGTAATATTTATGTAAGTCTTAAAGGGGACAGTATAAAACTTTTTAACTTTCTTCTTGATTATTTTGAATTCTTTAAAAAATTTTCAAAATTTTCTAGTTCTATAGACAAATTATGGAAATATTCTCTTTTTATAAAAAAAAAATTGGGAAAATTTCTCTTTTATAGAAAATTTTCGATATGAATTACACGAAAACGTTAGGAAAGTAAATTGAAAAGATTTGTGCGAGAAATTCTTTCGAAAATCTTATTTTAAAGGTTTAAGTTTGAAAAAATTAAAAGGTCCTGAAATGACCAAAGCAGGGATCATAGAAAAAGAACCAATATTTAATTTCACTTTTTGTAATTCAAAAACTTTTAAAAAATATATTTAATAATGCTTCCTATTTACTTTAATCCCTTGAACTGGAGTGTGTTAGTTTTCGATACTTCATTACTCCCTCTCTCTCTCTTAACAATTTCATTTAAATATTGTGGTTGTTATACCAAAAGTGTCATCATCATGGTCGTGTGTGTGTATGTAAAACCATTGTAAATTCAATAATATAAATCATGTAAATAGATGTTTGTGTATTTATGCATAAATTTATTGGAAATTTATTTAAAACTGAAACAAAACATACGCAGAACGTATGAACGAACATGCAAGAGATTTAACAAACAAATCCATGGTTTGTAACAACACACGCCCACGTTATAGAACGGAAATTAACTCGTTAAGGGGTCATGGGAGTCGGAAAAGATGGGGAAACTTCAAGTTGGTAGGCAAATACATTTGTGGCTAATGTTAATTAAAAGTAATATCCTTTTTGCTTAAACAACTATTGAAACTATTTAATCTTAAATTAAGTAATTCGATAAATTGAAAGCTTGGTTCTTTTAGGGTCTTCCTGACATTTTCTATTATTGCCATTTTGTAATGAATACTTGAAAATATCACCCTAAAAGGTTAATCTGACATTTTATATGTCAGGCATTGAAATTTAGTTGTTCGCTGCGATTGACATTGATGATTTTGCATTGTATTTTATTTTATTACTGTTTTTCAGAAAAACTTTTATTTTCAGTTCGAAACGAAAGAACAATCTAATGTCAATAGATTTTATTTTTGGTTGTTGTAGTTGTCGTTGTATTGTAAACAAAACAATCAATCACAGAAAAGTTTCAATAAATTTCAGTTTTTATTTGTGGAGAGAACAAAAAAAAAAAAACTAAAACATACAAAATGTCATATGACCATTAAAAAGTTTTTTTTTCATTTTAAACAATGAAATAAATTTTCAATTGAAATTCCTAAAAGTATGCTTTAAAATTAAATAATAGTAAAAAGTATTGATATTAAAAAAATTTCATTGTATTCAAATTAGCAGTTAATGGAGAACAAAGTAAAGTTAAAGTAAATAATACTTTTACTGAAAAGCTTTTATTAAAATTTTCATATAATTCAAGGTTATATTGTAAAAGTTTTATTTTTTAATATAATATTTTTGTGTAGTCTACTTTTCAGTGCAAATTTAATAAAAAAATGAATAGCATACATTTAGTTAACAACAAATTTGTTGTCATTTCTTATAATTTATTATTGAACGTGTCCTTATAGTGAAATATTTCATGTAGAAAATCTTAATAAAATATTGTAACAAAATTGAATTATTACAACGACATCAACAACTTTTAAGTATACATGTCATTTATTTACAAAAATATAGAATACAAAGAGTTCTTGTCAACAAACCAGGGATTCCCAAAATTTTTCTCTTTTTAAAGATAATTTTCGAGAATTTCTTTTTCATAGAACCTTTTTTGAAAATATCTGTTTTTAAAGAAAATATTCGGAAAATTACTCTTTTAACGAAAATTTTTGGAATTTTTTTTTACATTTTCTAAAAATTTCTCTTTTTGTAAAAAATATCCGAAAGATTTCTCTTTTTATAGAAAATCTTCGAAAGATTTCTTTTTTTATAGAAAATCTTCGCAAGATTTTCCTTTGTATAGAAAATCGTATAAAAAAATTGTATAGGAAATTTCAAAATTTTCTCTTTTTATAGAAAATTTTCGAAAGATGTCCTTTTTACAGAAAATTTTCGGAACGGGTTTCTTTTTGTGGAAAACTTTCAGAAAATTTTTTCTTTTTGTGGAAATTTGAAATGTTCTTTTTTAAAGAAAATTTTTGAAAAAAATGAGTTTTTTCGGAAATTTTCTCTTTTTTATAGAAAATTTCCGGAAAATTTCTCTTTTTCATTGAAAATTTTCGGAAAATTTCTCTTTTTTATAGAAATTTTTCGAAAATTTCTCTTTTTTATAGAAATTTTTCGGAAAATTTCTCTTTTTTATAGAATTTTTTCGGAAAATTTCTCTTTTTTATAGAATTTTTTCGGAAAATTTCTCATTTTTATAGAAAGTTTTTGGAAAATTTCATTTTTTTATAGAAATTTTTTGAAAAATCTCTCTTTTTTATAGAAAATATTTGAAAATTTCTCTTTTTTTGGAAAATTTTAGGAAAAATTCTCTTTTTATGGAAAATTTTTGTTTTTTATAGAAATTTCTCGACTTTTTTATAGACAATTTTCGCAAAAAATCTCTTTTTTATAGAAATTTTCGAAAAATTTCTCTTTTTTATAGAAATTATTGGGAAAATTTCTCCTTTTTATAGAAAATTTTCGGAAAATTTCTCTTTTTTATAGAAAATTTTCGGAAAATTTCTCTTTTTTATAGAAAATTTTCGGAAAATTTCTCTTTTTTATATAAAATTTTCGGAAAATTTCTCTTTTTTATATAAAATTTTCGGAAAAGTTCCCTTTTTTATAGAAAGTCTTCGTAGATTTCTCTTTTTTATAGAAATTCTTCGGAAAATTTATCTTTTTTATAAAACATTTTCGGAAAATTAATTTTTTTTTATATAAATAATTTTACTATTTATACAAAATTTCGGAATAAATTTTTTGAAATTCTAAACGAATTTGCTATTCGTTTATATAAAACAAATAAAAATGTCTTTCTCTCTTAACACCCTTTAGGAAGTCCACTTTAATGATTATCCTTATAGTTTGCATTGCAAACTTCCGGTATGAAAAACTAGTTCAGCATCCCTGTTGTTATTGCTCTTCAAAAGTAAAACCACAACAATAACAGAGAATAAAAAACCTAAAACGCATCACATCCTTTTGAAATGCAGACAAGTATTATTAATGTCTTCTCCATTACAGTTTTCCTGTTAAACATTTTATAAAGAATATTGCATTATATTTTTTTATATTATTATCTATTTTTTTTTATTTTTCAGTTCCTTTCTATAGTGACAAACAACAATATTTTCATCATCGTCATCACTTTGTTAAATAGTGTATAAAACAATTTCTATACTGATTTAGTTGTCATTGTTAAGGGGAAAATATACGGAAAGGAAGAATTGAAGAAAAAAGTCAAGATATTTGTGGAAGACAAATGGTTTTGTCTGACAAACCATAGACATACCACAGAAAGGGATTTTTTTATATAAGAAAAATGGAAAAAAGTGTTTGGTATTTTGATAAATTTAAGTTAAACATTTTGAAAGAAAACTGTATGTAATATGTAGGTACCTTAGGACTCTAGTTAATATTTCAAAGAATCATACCTGAAAGTAAAAGAAAACAAAGAATTATTATTAGTTTTCCGATTTAACGAACATTCGTTTCTACGAACATCGCATTTAGCGAACTATCAATATTTTTACATTGAGTACCTTACATAACGAACAAAAAATAATTTTTGGTACTCAGTTTAACGAACAAATATAAATAAAATAATTTAAATTAGAGTTAAATTAACAAAAATAACTAAAAATCATGTCAGAAAAGCTTCGACGTTATTAGGAGGGGTATTTACTTTTCCATTGCTTTCGAATATGGATTTCGAGAGTTGATTTTTTCTAATTTAGTAAAATGAAGAATCTAGATAATCTGAGATTTTTTTATTGAAGATTTATACAAAAATATAAGATAATCAAATCTACAATCCTTAATGTCGCAAAAACTAATGTTGATCGAATTAGAAAATCGGAACAAAAAATGTTTAGAGAGGCCAAAGTATACTTTTCTAGAAGCTCGTGCTCAACCCGAATTTGTCCTCAGAATTTAAAACCATAGAAATTGGTGTTCAAAAAAAGACTTTGCCAATCGTATACCTTAATATTTCGCTTTTATTTTTCGCCAAACTAACAAGTCCCCACAGTGACCATAATTTTTTCCAATAAAAATCAATTCTAAGAAATTGTAAGAAACGACATGTTATAGAATAAACAATATAAATAGTTTTTCTTTTGGAAAAAGGATATTTACAGGAATAGCTGTGAAATAAAGGAAAAAATATTTTAAAAAACTTTGGGTTCAGATATCTCAAAGAATGAAAACAATGAAACGCTTTAATAACTTTACATTAATCTATTTCCTAAGGAATTCTGAGGCCAGGTTCAGATTCATCGCAGTTCCAGCCATTGGGTTTAAAATTCTTTAAGAATTATGTCGTCCGAGTGCTTTTCCAGAACGTAGATTAGTTATACAAAATAAACAGAGTTTTTTCAAATTTCTTTATTATTTTTACATTGTGATATGAATTGCTAGTTTTTCATAAAATTCTTATAAAATATTGTCTAAAGAAATTATATTTCCTGGAACATATTTTTATAAATTAGATTTTATGTAATTTTAATTATTTATGTACTCAAAAGACACTTTCGAGTTAGTACTGCATATAACGAACTCTTCGATTTAACGAACAGGCCTGACAACATATAGGTTCGTTAAATCGAAAAACTACTGTATAGAGAATATATTTTTATTTAAATCTAAAAATATATAAATATACAAATTAATTTCGAGGTGTATACGTTATATTCATTATGTGGTATTAAATATTCATCATACGCCACCTTAATCATTAAAAAATGTTTTCCTAAATTTCAAGGACGTATGTGGAATATTTAATACCAAAAAAACGTATACGCATCGTAATATAACTTCAATCAATTTATGCATATTTTAAAAAAATTTCGGAAAATTTTTGTTATCGGAAATTTTCTTTGAATATTTATTTCTCTTTTTATAATTTTTTTTTGGAAAATTTCTCTTTTTAAACAAAATGTTTGTAAAATGTCTCTTTTTATATAGACGAAAAGTTCTTCTTTTTATAAATTCTTTTAGAAAATGTCAGTTTCTATAAACAATTTTCTTTTTATATTAAATCAATATTTTACATAAATATCTCTTATTTTCAGTGTATTCATAAGTTCCAGCTACCAACAGTTTTTTGCAGAAAATTCATGTTTGTATGTTTAATGAAATATTGTTTCAAGTTATTGTTGTTCATTATAATGATGCCAACATCAATCTGTTATACTGTCCCTAAAGTCATTAGAGAAAAGAGCATCAAAAACAAAAATAATAACTTACTTAAAAATTCATACATCTTTAAAAGTTACATACCTACTCTCAAATGCTAACACATCTACATACAATGAAACAAAAATTAAGAAACTACCAAAAACAGAGAACAAGTCTGAACAGTATTTAAACATGTTTGAACATTACAAAATTTAAGAGCTGTATAGTCAACAGTAATAATACACTAGGGTCCTGCTACCGAGAAAAAACTAATGAAAACAACAAAAGTTACAAAGTATTAAAATGAGAAAACAAAATATCAGTTAAATGTTAAAATGGTAAAATATTAGGGATAAATGAATTTTTGTTTAAAGCTGTCTAAACTTTTCAACAAAACTGTCTATGTGTCTTTCATTTTATATATATTTACATATCTACAAGCAATATTTCTTTAATTAAAGTAAATTTTTCCTTGAATTTTAAATAAAGATGGGCTACCATAAGCATTTGCTAGATATGAATTATGTATAATTTTTTATATATTTTTTGTTTATTTATATTTGCATCTATTTAAATTTTATATTTTTTTTTTTTTTGTTATTTTCTCTCTAACTTTTGTTTAAAAGTCAAAAATGTCATGTTTAATGACCAGCAAAGTGATTATGCTTTACTTAAGTTTGACATACAACTTTAGTTAAGTTAATATCCCTGTACTTGCATGTACTACTGGCACACTCTGTTACTTAGTTGATGTTGTGTTGGCCATTATTGTTTAACATCCTTTTGACTTTAAGCAAGCACACTCAAAGTCTTTTTAGTTTCATGAACCATAAAAAAAATAGAAAAGTAAATGTTTTAAGGTTTATATTTCTCATGGGAACATAGAATTTTCCAAACATTTTCTATAAAACGAGAAATTTTCCGAAAATTTTCAATAATAAGAGAAATTTTCCAAAAAAATTTAATAAAAAGAGCAATTTTCCGAAAATTTTCTATAAAAAAAAGAGGAAATTTAAAAAGAAAATTTTCTATAAAAAGAGAAATTTTCGAAAAATTTTCTATAAAAAGAGAAATTTTCGAAAAATTATTTATAAAAAGAGAAATTTTCTGAAAATTTTCTATAGAAAGAGAAATTTTCTATAAAAAGAGAAATTTTCAAAAAATTTTCTATAAAAAGAGAAATTTTCAAAAAATTTTCTATAAAAAGAGAAATTTTCCACAAAAAATGTCTATAAAAAGAGAAATTTTCCAAAAATTTTCTATAAAAAGAGAAAATTTCCGAAAATTTTCTATAAAAAGAGAAAATTTCCCAAAATTTTCTATAAAAAGAGAAATTTTCCGAAAAATTTTCTACAAAAAGAGAAAATTTCCGAAAATTTTCTATAAAAAGAGAAATCTTCCCAAAATTTTCTATAAAATTTTCTATAGAAAGAGAAATTTTCAAAAAATTTTCTATAACAAGAGAGAAATTTTCAAAAAATTTTCTATAAAAAGAGAAATTTTCAAAAAATTTTCTATAAAAAGAGAAATTTTCCAAAACTTTTCTATAAAAAGAGAAAATTTCCCAAAATTTTCTATAAAAAAAAGAAATCTTCCCAAAATTTTCTATAAAAAGAGAAATCTTCCTAAAATTTTCTATAAAAAGAGAAAATTTCCCAAAATTTTCTATGAAAAGAGAAATTTTCCGAAAAATTTTAATAAAAAGAGCAATTTTAAGATAATTTTCTATAAAAAAGAGGAAATTTAAAAAGAAAATTTTCTATAAAAAGAGAAATTTTTCGAAAATTTTCTATAACAAGAGAAATTTTTCGAAAATTTTCTATAACAAGAGAAATTTTCCTAAAATTTTCTATAAAAAGAGAAATTTTCCAAAAATTTTCTATAAAAAGAGAAAATTTCCGAAAATTTTCTATAAAAAGGGAAAATTTCCGAAAATTTTCTATAAAAAGAGAAATTTTCCGAAAATGTTCTAAAAAAAGAGAAATTTTCCGAAAATGTTCTATAAAAAGAGAAATTTTCCGAAAATGTTCTATAAAAAGAGAAATTTTCCGAAAATGTTCTATAAAAAGAGAAATTTTTCGAAAATGTTCTATAAAAAGAGAAATTTTCCGAAAATGTTCTATAAAAAGAGAAATTTTCCGAAAATGTTCTATAAAAGAGAAATTTTCCAAAAAAAAAATTTCTATAAAAAGAGAAATTTTCCAAAAAAAATTCTATAAAAAGAGAAATTTTCCGAAAATTTTCAATAAAAAAGAGACATTTTCCGAAACTTTTCTACAAAAAGAGACACTTTCCGAAAATTTTCTATAAAAAGAGACATTTTCCGAAAATTTTCTATAAAAAGAGACATTTTCCGAAAATTTTCTATAAAAAGAGACATTTTCCGAAAATTTTCTATAAAAAGAGACATTTTCCGAAAATTTTCTATAAAAAGAGACATTTTCCGAAAATTTTCTATAAAAAGAGACATTTTCCGAAAAATTTCTATAAAAAGAGACATTCTCCGAAAATTTTCTATAAAAATAGAAATTTTCCATAAAAATAGAAATTTTCCATAAAAATAGAAATTTTCCATAAAAATAGAAATTTTCCATAAAAATAGAAATTTTCCATAAAAATAGAAATTTTCCAAAAATTTTCTATAAAAATAGAAATTTTCCAAAAATTTTCTATAAAAATAGAAATTTTCCAAAAATTTTCTATAAAAATAGAAATTTTCCAAAAATTTTCTATAAAAATAGAAATTTTACAAAAATTTTCTATAAAAATAGAAATTTTCCAAAAATTTTCTATAAAAATAGAAAATTTCCAAAAATTTTATATACATTTTCTATAAAAAAGAGAATTAAATTTTCTGTAAAAAATAAATATTCCTGACAATTTTCTATAAAAAAAAAGAAATTTTCCTAAAAATTTTGTATAAAAAGAGAAATATTTATAAACTTTCTCTGTAAAAAGAGAAATTTTTCTATAAAAAGAAAAATCTTCCCAAAATTTTCTATTAAATGTGAAATTTTCCGAAACTTTTCTATAAAAAGAGAAAATTTCCCAAAATTTTCTATAAAAAGAGATATTATGAGAAAATTTTCTATAAAAAGAGAAATTTTCGGAAAATTCGCTATAAAAAGAGACATTTTCAGAAAATTTTCTATTAAAAGAACAATTTTCTATGAAAAAAAAAAATGTTGTGAAACTTAAAATTATTATACAAAAGTTATCTATAACTCTTTCTAACTTTAAATAATATTTATTGATA